CCCCAAAACCCCAAAACCCCAAAACCCCAAAACCCCAAATCTTGAATTAATCAAACAGTGCTATATCATTCCCTTAACCTTAAAATCTTTATTATTAAATAATAAGAAGATATTAAAATGGTTGAAGCAAGAGAGAGAACATTCATTATGGTTAAGCCAGACGGTGTCCAAAGAGGACTTGTTGGTGAAATCCTATCCAGATTCGAGAAGAAGGGATTCAAGCTCGTTGGCCTCAAGATGGATCAACCAGGCAAAGAGTAGTTCGAGCAACATTACGCTGATCTCAGCTCAAAGCCATTCTTCGCTGGTCTCGTTAACTATGCCGCCTCAGGCCCAGTCGTCGCTATGGTTTGGGAAGGCCACAACGTCGTCAAGACCGGCAGAAAGATGCTCGGAGCCACCAGACCAGATGACTCAGAGCCAGGCACCATCAGAGGTGACCTCGCCATCGATGTTGGCAGAAACGTCATCCACGGAAGTGACTCAGTTGAAAGTGCAAACAAAGAAATCGCTCTCTGGTTCGGTCATGAAAACCTCGTCCAATGGGGATCACACAGCAACTCATGGGTTTATGAAGTATGATGAAGCATTCACACACTTGATATTTACCTCTTAACTTTAAATGCTTATTTATTCATAACAAACTTCAGACAAATACTCATTCAATTCTTAATTACTCTTTATTATGAATTAAGATAAATTGCTCTTCTAAATTTTACAGCATTCTACACCTTTTTTCAACCAATTCTTGTGCCTTGTCCCTAGAATGCCCTGTAATTTGCCTAGTTTCTATGAGGTTAAGTTGGTTAAGGATCAATTGTCTGCTATCTTCTGGCACCTTGTGGAGCTTGATAGAGATAGGTGTTGTTATTAGTGGATCTAACTCTATTTTCATCGTCATACTGAGACATTCCATTTCTGAAGGGTGAATATCCCTGAGAAATCGGTCCAAATTAGGATGAATGTTACTCTTTGAAGCATTTGTAGGCTCTATAAGATACAACCAATGCAACAGCAAAGTAAACCAACATTGAGTAATAAATAATCTATGTGAAGAATGGTGATAATTGTATGGCATTTATATAGTTTAATAATATGAGAAAGTCTAAGCCTGCTGAGAACATAAAGAAGATCAAATTGCAATAACTCAAGGTTGCCCAGCAAATGTATATGATCCACAGTGAAAATAGCTAAAATAGCGCAGAAATGAATCCCATTAACAAAAGTTTAGCAAAGATTATGTAAAACTCACCATAGAACAGATATCTGAGTAATTTTCTATGCTTGATTGTCTGCTCATTCAGAGCAATTTAAGTATGTTCCGGATTGGGAAAACAAGAGTCCATTATTTTAAGAAAATTAAAAGAATTCTGATTAATTTATTATTCGATCAGTAATTGATTTATTACCACTGGGGTTTTGGGTAATTCTTTATTAGCTGAAAAGTTTGCTTATA